TGGAGTAAAACGATCTGCTTGTCTGCGGTGCTGCTACTGTCAACGCCCCATTTCACTTGCTGATGGCACCAAAGCCTTGTCCTTTTCGGTTTCTTGGAGCATTCTGTGTCCATAGCGACTGTTTTGAGTTATCAAGATCGCCGGGAGGTCGCCGTACGCCAGCAGTGTTGAACATACCGGTCAGCCGCCAACTGGGTTGCACCTTGGGGCAACCTGGCGATGCTCTTGGACCAAGTTTTGGCCTTACGCGTCCAATCCGTCCTTCCTGAAGTTGGTGGGCTTCGAGCGAAGGTCTGCTTTTGTGTACTAAAGCTCCAGGTTTGGTGTATGACGCTGTTTGAAATGTCAAGCTTCCTTTCTTGCGAATATTTGTTTATTTTCCTTGTTGGTTGTGAAGGACATCTATCACTACTGCATGGACATATGTTCACATATTTGTCTAATTTTCAGGTGGCGACAAAGCAAATGGAAGAGTGTCTCTATGGAAAGTACAGGGAATGCCTAGCCAACAGTAGGGAATGTGTGTCTACTTTCAATGCGTGACTACTGTGGATAAGCAAATGGAAGTAAGTCAAAAGATCCTCAACGCACCAGTCATTGAACGGACCCAAGTACCGTTGGCTCCAGGAGCCGACGCAGTCCCTTTCGCCGCCGGAGGCTGGAACCAGAAGGTCTGTTTGAAGGTTTGTGTGTCTTTTTGTAGGCCCCGCAAAAATCAAAACAAAGTGAAATGTGGGTTTCCTTTTGGTTCCCCTTTGAACCAACCTGAACACAAGGGTACGTTTGAAGCATCACACCCAATTTTGTAGGGTACCAGTACTCGTATGGGGTTGTTCTGAAGGCAACCAAGGGAAGCCAAAATGACACGCCCAGATGGCTTCACCCAATGATCACTTGATCCACAACGGGCAGGCCGACATGGAACAATTGCTGTGTCAGAAGGTCCTAACTGGAAGTTGGGTCCGAAGAGAAGAGACATTGGCAGGTTTTGCAAATGCTGGCATGACTGCCCAATGTTCCCCATGTCATGTTGTTTGAAATGGGTGGGCCTTTTTGTAGGCTGCCGCCCCCCCACCCCCCCCAAAAGAAACATGGATGTGGTTTTCCTTTTGGTTTCCCTTTAAAACCACCAAAAAAGGCGTCCTCTAAAAAAGGACACCTCCATAGAAAGATAGCTCTTCCCGATTGTTCCGCCTACGATTTTTCCTCCATGCCTGAACTTGGCAAATGAACAGCCTATCCACAGAGGTTATTTGGGTGTGTTTTTTTGGATTTGGACCCAAGCATAACAACACGGTTTTCCTTTGGTTTATTCTTTCTTGCAAACCGCACAAAAGGGGAGCCATTTGGGTAGCCATGCTCGCATCACATGCCATGTGCGGCTTTGGGCCCAGAAGTTGTACCAGGAGGTGATGGGTTCGACTGGTTTCGATTGGTTTTATTCCATTTACCAGGGCCATCGATAAGTTTAAGAATCCTTATTTTCCTTCTACTAAGATATGTTTCGGGAATGCGGTGTCAGCTGACGGCTTTTTTGCCAAACTGGGATGAACAACTCAAGCCACAGGGTAGAAGGCGTGCGCGACGTTTGAGCCATTCAAGTCCTTTCTGCCAATGACAACTGCGTGGCAGGCAATGCCTGCAGCCCTTGTTGAAACAAGCTTGTGTTGTTTGTGTGTTTCTTACAAAGCTGGACAACTGGCTTGGTGATTGACTTCCATTTGCTGAAATTGAACATGTTTTGTCCCCTGTTGATTTTAAAGGGAATCTATCACTATTGGAACATTTGTCTCATTGTTTCCAGGGGGCGAAAAAGCAAATGGAAGTCGAGCCATCTCCTTGGAATCGGACGGGGTGAAAGCGCCGAAGGTCATCCTCGACTCGTTCCTCGAGATCTCGCAGGCATTGGATGCGCTGGTGCGTGGACCTGTTGCGGTCAACCAGTGTTCACTCATGTTGTGGTCGCAGTCGCAAATGGTGATGCACTTGGGCAAGACACTGTACAGAATCAATCTGGTTTTGCTCACTTAGTCCAGCATGGATGATACTCGAATGCTTCCTTTGATGGTTGACGTTCTTTTCTGGCTCCATTCTAGTTATAGCTCCTTGAGAGCATCTTTCGAAGTACGCTATGTATGACCCATCCTCACCTCCATGTCTGTGAGCACAAAGAATCTAAGAAGGAATGATGCGGTTTGGGTCGGGCACAGTAGGTCAGGGAACCCCGAATTGGTGGTTTGGATTTGGACTTGAACCCCTGGTTCTTGTACAGGGGAAATCGTGTTTACCACCCCTTAACTCTCAAACCACCGGGCTCCAAAGCACTAAGACACGTGCGAAGCTCAGCCTCTGTGAGGCGAGCTCGATCCTCTCGATCCAGGTATTTGCGCCCAGGAAGGGAGATGATCAGAGATATGACTGGGGTGTTTCATCATGTCTCACAGGAACTTTGCAGCCTTGTGTTGGCAAGGCTTAGTTTATTTTAACACAAAAAGTAGTTCAGGGGACGAAAAAGCATTTGCCTGCGTTCCATGTTGAACCCGCTGGCATGGGTTCGTGTCGCTGCACTACCAGTGGTTTCAGAGTGTAAGTCGACAATCGGTTGACTGCACAATCCATGCAGCAAGAACGGGTAGTGATGGCAGAGTCTTCAGTCAGTCAATTCAGCCTTCGAGTCCCTGGAAGCAACCCCGCGAAACTAGTATACGATTTGTCCTTGAAGCGCATAGCGCCTTCAACTGCGGCATCGAGCAACAAGTGCAGCAGCACCAACAAAAACAAGAACAATTATAAGTTCCACTGCCAGCATCATCACCCTGCCACCAGCAACACCAGCGCGCCACCAAGAACAAGAGCAATAACAAGAAGAACAGTCATAGCAGCAATAAGAACAATGCGACAAACAAAAAACATGAAAAAGAGCCCAGGAAGCAGCAAGAGCCACAACAGCAACAACAACAACAACAACAACAACAACAACAACAACAACAACAACAACAACAACAACAACAACAACAACAACAACAACAACACCAACAACAACAACAACAACAACAACAACAACAACAACAACAACAACAACAACAGCAACAGCAACAGCAACAGCAACAGCAACAGCAACAGCAACAGCAACAGCAACAGCCACAGCAACAGCCACAGCCACAGCCACTGCGACTGCGACTGCGACTGCGACTGCGACTGCGACTGCGACTGCGACTGCGACTGCGACAGCGACAGCGACAGCGACAGCGACAGCGAAAGCAGCAACAGAAACAGCAACAGCAACAGCAACAGCAACAGCAACAGCAACAGCAACAGCAACAGCAACAGCACCATTCCCAGACATCCAACCAACCAGCCAACCAACCAACCATCCAGCCAGCCAGCCAGCCAGCCGACCATCCAGCCAACCAACCAACCAACCAACCAACCAACCAACCAACCAACCAACCAACCAACCAACCATCCATCCATCCATCCATCCATCCATCCATCCAACCAACCAACCAACCAACAGCAACAACCAACAACAGTAACACCAACAGTAACACCAACAGTAACAACAACAAGCCTTGTTTGCGCCTGCCCAAGGTCAGGTCGCAGTGGGAGCAGCGATCGCTATAGAGGGCAGGGGCCGCCCAGCTTGGCAGCTTCAACGGATGGTTGGAAGCCTCACTATTTACTGCGTGTGTTGGACAAGCATGAGCATGGTTTCTATTGAAGGAGCCATGTCGCATATGATGGGAGGTTTGCCCAAGCCGTCAGGTAGGTCAACAAGAAGCCAGGGCCCCCAATAAGTTCCAATCGCAAAGAGGGTCAGCCGTTTCAGCGTCATTCTTTTGGTTCCTGGGGCCTGAGCCGAGATCGAAACGATTGGGAGCCGTTCGGTGTGCTTTTTTTAAGCGGGCCCTAAACGGGTTCTAATAAGACGGGGTCCAGCTTGCAACAGAAAACCATCGTGTGAGAAGTACTTTAGAAGCCATATGTTAGAAACCGTTTCGGGTTGACCAATTACTGGGCAAATTGCCAGGTTGACCAGTTTCCTTTTGTTTCGGACCCCAGCATGGTCCTTGCGTTGAACTCATCAGTTGCAGCTGGTGAGGATTGCTGTTATTGTTTATTGTTTCCATGCATTCCCACCGCACCTGTGCAGCTCGGGGTTGCTTGGGGGAGTTGCAGTGTTCAAATCTATCGCGTGCTGAACAAGGAGTCTATGCTTCAACAGTTAGATTGTGAATGTGATTGCATATGTCCATTGATCCACCGCTTGGCCGGGCTTCTTTGGTTGTATAGCTGTTTCCCTACATCGTTTTCACCTGAGATCCGAAGAGAGTCACATTTTGCAGGAGCACATTGCATGTCCGTGTTTTGCCCTATGCCAGCCGTTCGGGGCACAGATCCAAGACTGGAAACAGACAATGCCCCGTTTTGAGGAGTCCCAGATGGCATCCAGCTTTTTGTTTTCGCTGACCCGCCTTGGGATGGACCTTTGGCGCAGGAAGGGCAGAAGTCCGGGTCTCAGAAGCTTGCGGCTGCGGTTTTTCTCTTTGCTCATTGCATTAGTTTCGTATCTGTAACTGGCAAACGAAATAACAGGCCCGAAACAAGAAGCGTTTGTTGGGCTTTATTGCTTTCGCAAAGGAACTGTTCGTCTTGGCGAAACTGGTGAATCAGGGGTGAGCAGCCTCAGAGTCAGAGTCCCTTTTGCAGTGCAAGAGAAGCCAGGGCTGTCGGTGTGATCTCATGCCCCGGATTGTTGAGCGTGGCATCATGGCAAATGAGAGGCACATGCAGGCAGCATCTAGCGGCGCCCTTTTCTACCAAGGCATTGACTAAACACGCCCAATCACATAAACGCCCTGAGATGCAACCTGCCCAAGCGAACCCTAGATTGACTTGGAGCGAAAGATTGACTCGGAGAGTTTGGTCATCAGCTCTGTTTGTGCCAAAGCAATCTCCCAGGTAAGGGCAAGGACAAGGGCAAAGACAAGAAGAAGGAGATGGAGGACAGCACTGTGCAACGCGAGGGCAAACAGGTGGCTCGTGTGGCAAACGCTCACCGGAAGCTCTAGCGGAGTCCGGCCGGTCAAAAGACATATATTGTCCATCAGCTACATGGAAGCTCGAATGATGTCCGCGAGAGCTTCCTGGAATGAGTGACAGCTGATCACTATTTGGAAGTGATCTCGGCATGTGTAGCTGCGCTTAAATACATACAACAGCTATCAAAAGCCAATGTCAGCCAAACAAATCCAAGCTGCAAAGCCGAAACCCATTCTTGACGGACCCCCCTCAACAGGCCACATTTTCAGAAAAAAGGGAGGATGGGTTCGGATGTGACGAGTATTTATTGCAAATAGCTGGCCAGGGGCAAAAGGGCGCCAATCTTGAAGGTTTGAATGAACCTTTAGAATATGCACGATTGTTTGCAAACTCTTGCCCTCCTTACAAGTTGCATGGTATCTAGCCTGGTCTATTTTAATTTTGGGGTATCTGTGGATGCTGCGTTTGTGGCTCTTTTTTTTGGTGACAGAGCGCTTGCTCAGACACGGCAGCGCCGCAGGCCCGGCAAAACATGTTATTGTGATTGGAAAGGGATGCATACACATTTGACTCATTCACTGCAGCTTGCTGCGGCATCTCGCTGTCAATTGTCTTTGGATCTCATAGCTCTGTGAACCTTTTGCCGGACATGTCAAGTACCCTCAAGTCCATTAACATGGAACCCACCAGTGCTGAAGGCAAATAGTCTTCCAGACCCCGAACTGTGAGGTTCCATGTTAGTGGATGGAAGGGTAAGAAGACAATAGAGGACAGGATTCCATTTTTTGCACAAGGTAGACTTCAACCCAGGGTTTCCCTTTTGGGAAGGAGGGTCACGATTTTTCACCTGTTGGACGAAGGCAAAATTCCGGGAGTCTGGGCTTCACAGCCCTTAGGTGTCCGACGTGTCTGTTTTTGCATAGGAGCAGCGGGAGAAGCTGCGCTCCTGGCTCAAGGAGAAGTCTGGGCCCAAGATGTGGAAGTTTCTTCACATGTGGCACTAGAACACGGTTTGGATGTGGCGAATCTATGAAATTCCAGCCCTGTAGGATAGTAAAAGAGTACTATCAGATTAATTACAAAAAAAAACTGGGATTAGAACAGGTCATCCAAGCCGTTTTCTCCACATGTGAGGGGGTTGATCAACAGGTCCTTTCCATGGGATGACCATTCGGAAAAACCACTAGTTAAATGGATGCTATTTCCCTCAAAATGGGAAAAGTTACCCGTGGTCATTTAATTTGGCGGCCGGACGGAATATTGATAACCCCCATGTTAGAGCTGCCCATGCCACGGACGTCCACGCCACCCCTTTTGCCTTTGGAAACGAGACGGACACCTCCACAATGTCTCGCCGCCCATGTTGGCCGGCCGAAACGAGCCAACGAGCACGGCATTTTTTGCCGCACTGTCAGCATACACCTTGGTGCCATACCTTGCCAGCCAAATCCTGCCAGAAGCATTACGGCATTGCGGAGGTGAGAACAACCGACACTTGCTGGGGAATATGTTCATGAAATTGTTGTGTTCCTTGTTACTTGCATTTTCCATTGAAGGACACCTGTCCATCCAGGTGTGTCTTTTTTTCGGGCACCGTTTCTCTTCAAAACCACAAAAAACATCAACCAACCAGGTACTCTCAACAAAAAGAAAGCCCCCAGATTTTAGAGCCTCTCATTTGCAACCTCTTCAGCCGGGATGGGGATCGAGGCTGGATGCTGGTGGGGCGCGTGTCCGTGTGAAGGACTCCGTAGTTCGGCCAGCACGGGGGACCCTTTTTGGCTCACTCCCTGAGCTCTTGGACGACCATTTAGTTCTGGGCCATGAGAACATAAAACGTAGCTTTACGGACTATTTGGGTACATAAAACCTTTGGACTTGCGGGCCATCCACTCAAGCGAGCTGAAAGGGAGGTGACATGGAAGCAGCCCATTTTGAAGGGCACCTATCTTTGAGAAACCTGCATTTTGCCAAGTGCCGTTTGGGTTCTGCCGCTTGATCATTTGCCGAGGGCCCAGCAAATTGGAGGATGTTCAAATCTGAAAATGGAAGCCGCCTCTACGTATGTTTGCTCTAGGCATAGTGAGCTGAGGGCGAACAATTGCATAAACCGGTCTACACTTCTTCCCTCCTTTGAAAGTCTGCATAGTCTAAGACCCTGCAATGTGGACTCAGCGCCGCGCGCGCTTGTTTCGGCTTAAAAGACGTTCAGAGTCTTTGAGATATGTCAGCGAGTCCTTGACGAATGTGTGTTGTTAATCGCCTGACCTCATTGGTGATGTAGATGCAGGACAAGAAGGATACGTCACCCTTTGCCACAATCCAAGACCATAGACATGTGAGCCAAATCGGATTGGCTCACGTCGAAGTGTCTCAGATTTAGCAAAAGGTCGGAATCAAGCCACGTCAGGCCAAGAGAAAACAGTCAAACATGGAAAAGGCAAGAACTCCCAGCCAGTTCTTCGGTCGCACCAATTCTTTATTCTCTTCCAGTGTCGCCCCTCAAAAGTGATCAGCTGCAAAGGATCTCTTTCGTATCTCCAACAGCGGAACGATCGCTGGCTACAAGTGGTCAATACTTGATGGGGGCCGGGGGGAGAGAGAGGGGGAGGGAGTGCAACTGGCTGATCACCTCCCCCAGTCCTTCCAGCCTCCCCTCCCCCCCCCCCGTTCCCAACCCCCATGAAAATACTCGCGCGCGATCGCGCGCAAGACGTTTTGATCGAGGACCTGACTGATGAGATGCTGGAAATCCACGGGGTGAAGCCAGGGCGGTTCCGGCAGCTCTTCAGCCAGACAGTGCAACAGCCAGAAACCCCAGCGCCAAATGGCCGTGGCTTTTGCAGACGTGGGGGGGGAAGGGTCTGAGGCCATGTCGGGCGTGGTCCCAGGGATTAGGATGCTTGAGGTCAACGAGCCAGCAACTTTCATCCATTTGCTTTCAGGACTTCCCCGACACTCAGCTGCCATTTGTCGCAACATTTATGCCACCAATTGATCCCCTGTGCTCCATACCGGTAGTACAGTCGGCAAACAGAGAACCCATTGTTTGACACATGTCACTTGACGATTTAAAAAAGAGAGAAACAACTAGTGACATACCGTGGCATCTCTGAAACCACGGGCTGGAATGATTCCTGCTTTCAAATTACGTACTTGGTGTGTTCAAGGCCAGAATGTGCATCCATAGGAACTTGCCTGTCCACCTCGCGGCCTCGTCTATTTGCATTGGGCCTGGTAGCTTGATGCCAACGGCGGGCCACGACTTTATCTCACATTTAGGGACCCTCAAGCAATGTCTCCGTCTCGTTCTTGGTTGCCAGGCCAAAGTTTCGACAGCTTCAATTCATTAGTTCAATGTTGCATTGATGCGCAAGGCAAACATGAATGCGTTGGCGTCTGTCTTCAAGGACCTGTGCTCGCGTGAATTTCAATATTTGCCTGGAATTTGCAAGGGAGATCCCCAACTGGAAATCGATCATCCCTTGCCTGGAATCCGGATAACTGACCATGGGTTGTGTACCCATGTCTAGGCGTCGATCCTATCTTCACAGTTTGCTGCCACGTGAGGTTTGTGACAGCACACATCGGCGGTGCAGAGGCCATGGGCAACATGTGCGGGGGTCCGAAGGAATCATGTGCCGGTGTTTCGTTTCTTGCGCTAGGTCGCGCGCCATGAACGGATAGATAGGTGACAGCTTGGAGAACAAATCTGGGCTTGGTGCAGCTGGGGGCTTGCAGTTTGCGGGTATCAACCGTGGGCATCAATGCCTGGACTACCCACATGCGAGGTATTGGGTGAAAGCTGGCGCTGGCATGAGCAGCAACATGCCAACTGAAGCTTGTTGGGGCACCTGTCAAAAGGAAACAGATGCAATAACTCTTCCAAGCACACGAATGAAAATGGCTGTGTCCAGTTCATGGAGGATCTCCCACTCCACAAAAATGTGTCTCTTTACTCTAAACGCTGACCTAATGGGTACACATTTGGTCGGATTCTCGTTTGCCAATGTGGCAGAGACAAAGCTGCTGATCTCAGCTTGGGTCGGGAGACTAGCATGGTAAGCCAGTTGCATGAACGCAGACGCAGCAAGAGAGAGAGAGAGAGAGAGATGCTGATGTTTGCGTGTGCGTGTGTGTGTGTGTGTGTCGCATGAACGCATGCATGCATATGTCGTCGTACGTACGTACGTGTTGTACCTACATGACTTCTAGTACACATTGGACACATGGCTCACGCACTCATGCATGAACACGCATACATGCGCATGCTGTCTGGACGACAAGCATATGAATGCCTGCATGCCTACATACAGAGATACCTACACAGCTCGTTGCCGCATATCTACATAGCTTCCTACCTACATACATACATGCCTTTTTACGTGCATGCACGCGTGCATGCACACAAACAGCCATACATACATTACATTACAATACATGGCATGGCATTACATTACGTTGCAATACATACATACCAACTTCCATACTATACGCGTGCACATGCATGCTGAAATACAGGCAGGTGCACACATTAAAATAAAGGACAAGTTAGATTTCACATTGCACTACAGTCGCGCTAGGTTGCATTGCCTTGCCTTGGCTCAACCTATGGTCCTGGACCTGGAAAACATGATCCGGGCAGGCGGCTGCGTGGTCCAAAGATGACGACTTCAGCGGCCGGGGCTTGGCGCAGGCTCGGTTGGCTTGGCTGGATGCGCTGCATGGATTTTCCTTTAGCTTACCGGGAGCTCTCGCCCAAGATCGGCGTTGACCACTTTAGGAGAGGGGTTTGCTACATTTTGTTTGAATTTGGCGGCGGTTAGTACTATATACACAAGCCTTGACCCTTTGGGTGGAAAGTTTTTTGAGGCATCGCAGAACCGTGTTGATTGCAATACGTCAGCAGATACGTGTTGTGTGGCGCTCGGACTTACATGAAGCAGGAACCGATATATGTTGATATTGTGTTAACCGGAGCCTTGGTATGATCAGTGAAATGTAGTGAGTTGCCCTAGTGTCTGTTGGACCATGGCTACAATGCGTACGTGTGATCTTATTTCACTTGTATGAGTCCTTTTTATGGGACCCCTCCAAAATGGGTGGGGTCTTCTTTTCTTCCCTTTTAAAACCGCCCAAAGATGCGTACCCCAAAAAAACACAGACCCACATGGCTCCACTTGGGGTTGGACCACCATGTTTCCCGCCCTTCTGTGCGGGGCGTGTTTTTTGGCCCTTGGCAGGGCGAGAAGGACATGCGGGCACAGCGCGCTGCGAGATTCCAGAAGCATCTCAACGAGAAGACGCCTGCGGCTGCCTCAGACCGACTGACAGAGATCATGTTGCACCACTGAACCAACTGCAGCCAAGTTTGTAAGACATCCATGACAGCTGGTGCGGGAATTCCTGCATCAAAGGGGTGCTGATAAATACCGCCCTGAACTATCCTGCATACACACAAATCTGCCTGTTGGCTGTGGCTCAAACTCGCTAAACGCCAAAACTTCCTCGGTCTGGAAATACATAGGAAAACTCTGGTCGAACACTCCTACTCACTGTCATGATGAAATCTGGCAAAGACACGCTTCAACAAGCGCTCTGCAATGAACAGTAGTGACCAATTCACATGGAACCTGAGAGGGCGTTCTTGGAAGACCATTTTCCTTTTTAAAGGGACCCACTGTCAGGTTCCATGTTAGTTGGGGAATGGTTTGTGCTTAAGGGTGCGACATGGCTGTTGTCCTTCGAGCGAATCTTACGAATTGCTCTAGATGGCAGGAAACTGCCATAGCTGACAATGCTACTTGTCCTTTTTTTGCACAAGAGGCTGCCTTCTCAATGTCAATTGTTTATTCCCGAGCATCACTCAAATTCGTATTTAGCGACTACCCCGTTGACGATATTCGTGCTTTGCAGCAGCGTGACAAAGACCAAGAGGTGTCAGAGGTGCGTCAGAGTGCAAAGGGATTTTGAAGCTGGCCAGTGTGACTAGGATTGAGCAAACGATTGAATCTCCGATTGGGTTGATATGTGGTTCGGCTAGACTAGGGGTTTGCACTAAGGGTTGCGGGGCTTTGCTAAGGCGAGGCATGTTCACCCCTGTTCCTACAAGATCCGAAGCCTGCTTGGCTCCGGGCCTGTTTGCTTCCAAAAGCAACCATTTCGAGGATTTGTATTTTAAGGCTCATTCATTGCAACACGCAAGCCCCCAGAGTTCCTCGGGTCAAGCACAGCTTTTCGACCAGCGGCCCTTGCTGAGCCCTGGACGGACGGAGGCCCCCAAGCCCCTCCCATGGAGGCTCCCAGAAGGCCTTTGTGCATGGAACCAAGTGTTTCAAAGGGGCCCTGGGAGCTTCCATTTGGAGGAGGGTACGGTGGCAAGGATCTTTTTTTGTTGCTCTTTAGCGTCCGTGCAGTGCATACTCTGACTTGCACTGCGGAGAGCACCTGAGTCAGGAGCCAGTTCCGTGTGCCCAACATCAATCAGCGCTTTGATTCATTCAGCTGCAAAGGGGTAAGCGCTGGCTCGGCGCGTGGACGTCAGGGTGCCGGGGAGTACAGAAACAAGGCTTGCCAAATTCAACTAAGTCCCCAGTAGTGCCCTTTTACCCTTTTTTGGGGGAGGTTCCCCTACTAAAATAGACTACGTAGAGAAAAAAGGGTACCCTTATTCTAACCTCTGTACTGGAGGACCTAGCCAAAGAAGCGTCAGCAGCGCCCGAAGGGCAGCGTTGCCTTCGCTTTGAGACAAATTGAAGGATCTGCGCCTCGAAGCGGATCCTGCCTGATAGCTCAGGTAGCTATGGTCAGCTTTGATGCGGAGGCGCGGCGGCATACTGTTTGAAGACCTGTTGCTTCTTGATTTCAGAGAGGTGGTACTCGGGCCACCCTCTTTGTAAGGTCTGCTTGCTAGTGATAATGGGAAAGAACATGGACAGGTTGGCGCCCTTACCTTTGGCAGAAAACGAAATGGTGATTTCTTGATTGGAGCACGTGCTTTATTGTTGATTGGGGAACTGACTATGTGTTTGCTCGAAACAAAAGCGCGGTTGGGGGAATCATTGGCCACCCTGGAACTGCTTGTTTGAAGTCATGCGCTACCCTGCAGAGAACAGAAATCCATAAATGGTATGCCACATCACCAGGATAGTTATCTTGGCCACATGAAAGAGCTTGACAGGCTCAGCACATGAGGAGATAGCTGTACACCTTCCCCGTCAAACTATCAGTGATCAGGAGTATTGGTTTGGATGGGCTGAACGGTTGTTTGCGAGATTGTTCTTGAACAGAGAGGGCAGCGTGACAGTGTATGGTGTGTGTGTGGGTTTGGACTGCAGAGGTGCCAGCGCGTTGAGACAGGCTTTTGGCCCCATAAAGGCACCCCTCTTCAAGTTGTTTGACAACTTTGGATCAGTCAGTGATGTTGACTCACTTTCGCATGATTACGGCAATGAAGCAAGGAAGCTAGGTGTGTTTTTTTGTTGAGTTTGATTAGGCATAAATGGGTTCCACTGGTTTAGGTTGGCAATATGCCCCATTTACCAGGGAATCTGTTTTTCCAAAATGTCACCTATGGCCAAGAAGCTCTTCATGGGGCCGTGTTCAGGTGGGAACCATCGATGGTGGCCCCATGATTGGCGAGCTGGTCGGCATGTGCTCCAGAGATGAGGCGAGTGATCCGCACTTTGACCTGAAAAGGGGAAACCCCTAAGACTAAAACCGGTGTATCTAGGTCCCCCAGTAGTGCCAACTTCTACCGTTTCAAACCTCTCTACTGGAGGAGCTAGGTTTTAATCCGGGGTCAAAATTGTGTCAACTGTGGTTCATGGCTTGCGGACCGCTCAGCTGTGTTCAAACTATGCATAGAACGCGGGGGTGTTTGGCGGGTTTCTGTAGGCTTTTGGGTTGGGGTTTGTTTCTATAGGTGCATGAAATAAGATGAACAGCCATGGCACTGTTTTAGGCCGGAAGCCTGTCCTAAAAGTTGGTTGGGCATGTCTCTATGTCGTTGTTAGGCATGGTTTGACGAGGCTCTGGATCTTTTGGGATGTGGTCGTTTGAGATGTACTTAGCCCTGTTTCGCGGAAGCTGACAAAGTGCTCTTGGCCGATTTTCGCAGCGAGTCGATTTTGGCCGGTGAGAGTTGCCTTGAAGGCCAAGGAGCGAGAAATGACCCGGCAGCTGGACAAGTTCGAGTGGAAGAAGGGCACAGACCCTCGACAACCCGAGGCACGAGTCGAGGGGGTCGAAATCTGGCGCATCCTAAGCTAAGAAGAAAGGTTACGCGCTGAAAAAATCACAGCTTTGTGGCTTTGTGTGGCAAGGAAGAAAGTGACGCCAGTCGTTTTATGACGTTGTGTTGCTGAAACAGCTGGGCATAAGAATGCCCTTGTCAGTGCCCCATCGATCAAGGGAAAATCAAAACCTGCAGTGGACAGGCTCTGATTGGGACAGCGCACCTGCCAGACTGATTCGACATGTTGATGAGCCCGGTTTTTGGCACGGCAGCCGCTTGATCTGTTGCCCCTTTGTGCACTGGCAATCCTGTTGCCTGTTTGTCCCAGTGTCTGGGTTTGGCTAGGCATGATGTGCGTGTTCCAAAGCTGCTCGTTTGGTTGGCTTGGTTGATTTCAATGTGTTGCGTTGCCATCGGGTTGCTCGGTGTAACTGAGTCGTTGACTTTAGTGATTGGCAGGTCGGGTGAATTGGTGCGGTTGCTGCGCTTGGCGGCGTGTGTTTGTATAATGATCATGTGTATGGTGTGTTCTTGCTTTGCTGAGTTGGTTGATATCATTTGATTGTCGAAGATGATCAATGTTGCCAGCATGTTGCTGATCCATTTGTTTGGGGCGGTTAAGTGGCAACGCTTCGTGTTTAGCTTGCTTTGTAGTGCGTAGTTTCAGATTTGACCTGTGCGCTTTTCAAACATATCCCAGCCTGAAGGAAGACTTGATCATGTCAAAGCAAAGTGCCTGGTTTCGAAATAGATAGCTTAAGCGCAAAATACGGCAACTGCTTCAGAACCATTGGAACAACAACCTTTTCAGGGAGGGGATGGCATCCTCCTGCTGTACGCTGTACTCTACGCTATTGGCTACCTGCTGGACTCTGCCAACATGTTGCCCCCAAATCAGTCTGCTCAGGTCGATTTGAGGCTAGCCTGCAAGAAGTATCAGAGAAGTTCTGCTGACAAGGCGGGAGGTTGTGGTTGTGGCCGATTTTGGACGGCTTAGTCTGACGCGACAAATTTGGCCGTTCGACCTATACACAAAATAATTGGTACGACCTATTCAAATTCTTCTGGCGGGCTCAGAGTGTAACATCAACCCCGTGCGCAGTAGTGTGTGAAATTGAAACCCACATCCTAAATGCAGGTTGCCCGTGTCTTTCCATCGCAGTTGTTGAACCCTGGATAGTTGGGAAAGGTTGTTGACGCTTTGTTGAGCCCGGGCGCTAAACGTCGGTGTTTTGTGCACACATATTATTACATTATAGCTAAGTGCTTCTCACCTGTTGTGGCTGTTTCTTGTTTTTAAAGATACACGTTAGCCATCTGCCAGACAAGGCTGGAAGGTGGATCTTTTGCACTTTATGACAGATGCGACAATGCTCTGTGAAAAGAAGAACCACGATAATTTGTTGCTGAACGAACAGCTCTACTTGGTTAGCAAAACCATCGGAAGAAACACCTCCAACTTGTCACGGCGTGCATTCCGATGCCAAAACTGCCCTCAACTTTGTCTCGACCTTTGCGGTGTGTTTCTGGGCTACTTTTGGTCCAAAAGGGGTCTGAGGTTATGATTTGCCTTGACCATAAAAGCTGGGTAGTTTTTCATTAGGTATTGTTAGTCTGCATCGAAAAACCCTTAGTCGAACAGAATGCAGTGATATGATGTTTGCTTTGAAAGGCAATGTGGGATTCTCAACCTCCCTGGGCATTCCTTGATCTTACATGTTCTGCACAACCACCCAGAAATTCATGCCACATAAATTACGCTTGTACAATCAAGCTTAAATGAGAATAAGAAATAGACCTGCAAAGCGTTCAAAAGGCCCATGCCAAACATGCGAGTTGTCCAACTACCGCCTGCCAGCATCCCTGTGTATTTGCTTCCCATCCAGAATCCAGGGGTTAGCGTTTCTCGCAGCCTAAAGGCCCAGGATCAACTATAAAGCAATGAATAACCAAAGAAGTGTGCGGAAGGCGAATGCGACTAGACCGCCTTCCTCAAACCCTCCAAAGTCGAGGCAGTAGGTGCAAGCTGGCCAAACTCTTCCAACAGTTTTAAACAGGCTAGAGCCAAAGGTCGTCAACATGAACGAAATGCAAAGCCACTTGTAATTGATAATTCTTTCGGGTAAAGAAGAGCGCAGAAGTTCGGCAGACAGGTGGAAGAAAGGGAGGTTTAGGAATACTCACTTTGAACACACCGGTGTGTACGTCGTTGTTTGTTGCTTGGGACATGTGCATTGACATGTATTAGGGATCGCTGTGGTCTTTTCCTGCCTGGCCTTGTTCGTTCGCTTTCAACTGCCACAAGACATTGAATATAAATTTCAGATTGCTGGGACGTTGTCACCGTCAAACAGCTGCCATGCAACCGGGAGTCTAAGAGGCAAGGTGCGCCATGAGAGCGGTTTTCGTGCTTGGACCCCACTCGCCGGCAAAGACACGGTGCCAGGCATATAAGAGCCAAGACGTGAGATCATTAGATGCATGCTGGAAGACGATGGAGTACCTCATGAGGGAGCGGTATGCTTGCGAGACACGGTCGCGGGGGATTCATGTGGGAATCGACAGGGACAGTGTGTATAGGAAAAGACTGCTGGAGGATGCAGCAACTCTGGGGGTTGTGCGAGGTTCGTTGTGTGCCGACCAAACATTCAGCCCATATGTTGGTTTAGGAATCTCTTGACTGCCTTAAGCCTGTGGGTGCGTTTGGTGCACAATGATCTCACCAGGGTCCACATGAAGTGTCCTGGAAGGGGGGTTCCTATGGGGAGAATTATACTATGCTCAGAACTGTTTGAAGTTCCAAGGTATATGTACTGGACCACGTCCGGCCCATTTCAAGGGGTGCAGTAAAAACCTTCTGACGTTCGGCCGCCATGTTGACGCGTTCGCTTTTGTCAGCTTCCCTTCGTCCGTTGGACATTCAGAAAGTGAGACAGCGGACATCAAGGGAGGCATCACCATGCCATATGCGACGTGTAGATTGAAGCATAGCACACACAACAAACGCATACACCGGCAAACGAATGCACGCACACCCACACACACACACATAAAGGTGCAAACAGCAGACGCAAACACAAACACACTGGGCTGGACACAGACACAAATGCAAAGACACGCGCACACACACACAAAGACACACGTAGAGGGCAAAGTGCGCACAGACGCAAGTCCGGCACCACAACAAAGTTTGCTTTGAGCATTCTCGGCCCAGCTATGACCCCAGCTGAAACTTATCAAGTGCGACATTGTTTCAAGCGCTCTTTCCGAGGAGATCTTGGACTTTGACAGCAATCCAAAGCCTGGTTACGCAATCCAAGCCATCCCCTACATCGAGGCAGTGGCAGGGGAGGTATTTTCGTCGCAAGGTCAGTTTGGAATTGCGAGAGTTCGTTGGGGCTGGGCGCTAGGGACTCAGACCGTGAAAGGGATAAGGCCAAACAAGTTGCGGCCCAACATATTTTCCTCTAAGCCCCTGACTGAGCAAGCATCAAAGTGAGAGCCCTCGAGATAGCGACTTAACCCATAGTCAAGCCTGCGGGCTAGTTTCAAAGTGACACATTTGTGTCCAGTACGTGTGTGTGTGTGTGTGCGTACAGCTTCCCAGAGAGAAAGTGCACAAACCACCAGCGATTAAACACATCTTGCTACAAAGCTAGTTGGAATGGTTTGCTGCTCCCCCCTTTTAACTGCATAGCGTATTTCATTCCTTTTGGTACCAGATGCTGTCAATGCATGAATCTCATATCCTGTGCTATGAGCATGGCAGGCTGGTCCTCCTGCAATGGGGCAGCCGTTTGCGCTCGGTGCTTGTATCAACAAATAAAGATATGAATCCTTTTGCTGTCATGCCTCATAGAAATAATGTTGTTTGCGTGGGGCGTAGGCTTGCCGCCATGCGTTGCCGTTTTGCGCGTCTTGTCACACCGCAGCGCCAGCCAGGTGTACTCCTTCCTTCGAGATCGCACGCGATCCATTAGAGCAGCGTGCCCAGAGTCAGGGTCACCAGATGAATATATGGTCACCCTTGGCTTCGCATCAATCTGGGTATGTCTTTTTAGGGGACCCCAAAAAAGGCAGAAATGCAGCTTGCCATGAATTGTTTGGATGCAAACCAACGTATGATCTTATGCGGCGCCGATAGTGCCGCTCGACTGATTCCAGTACCGCAACTCGGACACCATGCCTAGGTGATTTGACCGGTTCCTACTTTTATAGGGGGGTGGACCAATATTCCGGCAAAGCCCCCCAAATGACCGAGGGTACCCTCTAATGAATCAAACATGGAGACAATATAATCTGTTTGACTCCGAAATCCCGACTGGACCTGTGAGAATAAGGCACGGTCCAATCAATGACAATAGATGCCATGTCCTTTCATAGTAAGAGAGTGCCTTTTTGGGGCAACCCTGGCATGGTCAAAAACAACAACGTGTACCATGCCAACATTCTCAAGTCATTCGAGACCCTTGAGTTGCTAGTCCGGGCTTGAGTCCCTTTGCCTAAGATTCATGAGATGTCCTACCTGTCAAGGCGAGTCATGCCTCCGAACGGCTGTTGATCTTTTTAAGTTCTTCTTGGAGCCGCAATGCTCCAAGCGAGTTTCGTATAAGTGTGTCATAGCTCCCCCAAGTTGGCATCCATCACAATGGGCTCCGAATTTCTCCCATTGCCCGACTCTCAGCTTCACACGATCTGCAGCTTTGCCCCCCCCATCAAAGACGATGTTTCAATGCAAGGGACATGCAGGGGCACTTCCTGTCCTCTTGGTGTTTGACTTGAATGGACTGTAAGTTCCTAAACAAATAGGGTTGTTTGGTACTTCAAGACCAAGTTGAGTCATGATCATAGGATCACGTGCGTAATTACTTGGCTCCTTAGATTATTGCATTTTGCTTTTAGATCACGTGCTCTTTGGATTACTTTGCTCCCTATTCATTCAACAAGCCTCGCGTGTGTTTGTCTCAAAATGAGGGACCCCAACATGTGCTTTGTCTTCATGGCCCAATAAACACCGGCCCAAACCGGGTGTCTTATCCGGAAGAAGCCATCGATCCAGGTGGACTTGCACCTTCAGCAGCCTCGGAGCACCACCCAGCGCATCTTCGTGGAGACCCACGAGCGCCCCTCCCAAGAAATCCCCCGCTGGGCGGTGGTTTTTGGGTTCGACCCGACTCGATGGGTCTGCCTTCATTGGTGCATTTTGCCAAGAGATGTTAGGACTTTAAGTGCTTGCCAACTAGTGGGTCTTCCAGTAAACCGCTAAAAGTTAAACTCTTAGCAGGGGAGCAGAAAGCAACCGAGTCTTATTTGGGGGGAACCCCTTGTTGGTTGGTTCAGAAAGGGAAGCCAAAAGGACAACCACCAATGTGGCGTGTCCCCTAAAAAGACAACACCCAGATACTCGGCCTCTGCTCCCAGAAAGGTTCTCAGAAGCCTTCCAATCTTTCCTTCGGGGGGGGGGGGGGTCCTTAGGTTGCCTCTGTCCAACTTGTTGGATGATTTCTTCATGGCTATTTGGTTGGATCTTTGGACTTTAACTTGTTTGGAAAACAGTGGGTTGCCATTTTTGCAGAGGGTTCAACAGCAACCAAGATTTTAGATGTCAGATTTCAACAGGCCAAACAGCTTTTGATTGGGTGATGTGTATAGGTCGGACAACTAGTTGGAATCCTGGATCCAAAGGGGGCCCGTTGGTGTCAGTGAGTTAGCTCTGGCTCAGCAAGAGTTGGAGATGGGGGAGGCTGTTCCTTTGGGGATTACATGGATAACCGCTGAGTTTTGCACTGTATCCTGAGACATGCAGCACTTTGGGATTAGATCTTGGGCCACGTGCTCAGTTTGCTGCCATCAGCAAACCAGGTGTTGCACATCATCCCTGTACCTCTCCGTGCGGGGAAAAACTCGTGCCGCATCATTCGAAACATGAAGCATGGTTTGACAGGGGTCTCTATACTTCCCTTTGTGGCGGGTTTAAACATCACCTCTTTGGCCCATGGAAGGTGAGTGTCCCTTGGTGGGGGTGATGTTTTAAGGGGACATATAGGGAGCCCTGTTTGACAAAGACCTGAGATGAATCAACTTCTTTTGACATAGAGGGCTGCCCTGAGAGGGATGGTGAATGTCTTCAGCATAGTCAAGTACCAGGGAATTCACCTCAATTTTGCCAGGTGCTGTGGTTGAATGTGGCTAGTTCGCTTGAAAGATGTCCGGAGCAGATGTTATCGACATGGCCAGGTGCTGTCTGCGCTTTGAGATGCTGTCGCTGTACCTCCTGCTGGGCAGAGGGCAAAACAAGGAACTGCCCAGCTCTGCCATGGGCTGGGGACGTGGACCAAGTCCACTGCGCACCTGGCATGTATGACGCCCGACAAATGGAATTGGGATTTTGTTGATCAACAGTAAAAAAACAAAAACCTGGCAAGTGACTTCTGCCAGAATGGACGACTCTCTCATTTCTGAATGGGATCATTGGGATTGTATCCCGGCTCTGGTGGCCGATATCCTGTGTGTTGCGCTTCTTTGTGATTTTTATTGCCATCTGGGACAGAAATTGTTATGCTAGCCAGAAATCATGAATCTGGCATCATCAAATTTCACGCCGCAATCCACCTGTGCCTGGATGCTCGCGGTTCTACACACGTAGACGGTCTGGCAGATCCTGCGTTGGAAATCAAGATGGAAACTCCTCCTTCGGAAGTTACACATTTCAGTGCTAGGCTCATGATGTTGGTTGTCGAGATCAGCTTGGATGCTTCTCCGTGAAACTTAGCACTTGGAGCTGACACATTAGAATGACAGCATCAAAAAAGAACACGTCGCGCGACTTTTGTTTTTCCTGAAGCAGCACCGTCTTGCGCTCTGTTTGCCATGTGGGTGTGTCTTTTTTTGGTGCACTTCCAGAATGGTGTTTTTTCCGTTTGGTTTCCCTTTAAACCAAGCCCAAACTGGGGTCCTCGTTTAGTGTCCTGAAGTTCGGCTCCTTCGCAGGAGGCCACCGAGAAGTACGACACCAAGCTCGGCCTCAAGGCCCTCGAAAGACTCGTGGGCCGGCATTTTTGTGTAAGAGGTTGCAAAGACCCAAAGTATCCATAGTATGATGGACCCAAAATGGGTGCCTTTCGGAGGCTGCTCGTTGTCTTTTTTTTTGGGGGGGGCTGCAAAGGACAACCTAAAGGAAAGCCACCATTTTGGAGGGTCCAAATCCATATAGCCATGTTTGTCTCAAGCCTCGATGTTTATGACAGCCATTGTCAGGGGTCTTGAGGTCTTGAGCCATCACTAACAAGGAGGTTTTGGCAAATGGTTATGTAGGTCATTCCTAGATGCTGTGTTGAAGCCATCAAAGGCTTCTAGTTGTTAGTTTTGACACAGAGAGAGAGAGAGAAAAAGAGAAGAAAGGAGGGATAGAGAGGGTGAGAGACCCCAGTGGTCATCTCTATGGGGAACAACTTCCTAGTGTCAATAAAGTCAAGTTGCGTTGGTGTGGAAACGTAGTGCAAATCCGATTCCTTCACAAAACAATGGAGTCAGTTGCAGGTACGGTTGAATTAGATGAGGAGTCTCCCAATCAAGCTTGCGGGGTGCCCGTGGAAACACTCACTTGTCACTTGTCCAAACCCCACCTTTCGACCGTTCTGTTTGCCAATGTTGGTTCATTTGTAGTCAAGGTTCCAAAAGGCTAGCCTTCTATTTCCAGGCCCTTAGGGCAAGTGAGATTTGTGTGAGCAAAGTTTGCCCACTTCACAGCAGCCAATTGAAACGGCGCAAAGGGTTGCCACACCCCTTGCTTGCCGATAGAGCCGCTGGCTGGAGGTGTATGCAGGTAGGCCATGACCGACGGGTTCCACTTTGATTCTTTTCGTGTCACTTGTCCACTCCCCTTCCGATGCGGCAAGTGACATTTTGCGGGCAGCAAATGACATGCGGTTTCAGTGGCATGTTGCATCGCTTGCTAAAGGTGGGTTCAGCGACCAGTGGTGTGCCTTTCAGTCTCGAGCCGATTTCCTGGACTTGAAGCACGTAGCTTTTTCACGTGATCAGAGCGAGGGGATACAGCGTTAGAATGACATAGTAGAAAGTGGCTTTACGCCATACAATATTGACCGCATGAGAGAGAACCGGGACTGGTAGATCCAACAGGACATTACTTTCTTGGAGATTGTTATGCTTTAGATTCGTTGTGCATCCGATCGCGCAGCGAGGGTCACCTGACGGGAAACGGCAAACAGCAGGAAAGCAGCGAAACGGCACCAGCAAGTGTTCCTGTATGTTCCGGCATTACATTTGATTAGCTGTCACATGGCAAGCTTACTTGCATAGATAGGAGAATCGATTCCCTTGAGAAAGATGTTCAATTGCATCCATCGGGAGCGAATGATTCGGCACCCTTATGCTATATGCGCCCAGGCAATTTCCAGGACAGGCGTTTCCAGTGCCCTTCACTTGGTTCGAAAATCCCTTTGCAGTATGTTGTGGTTTCCTAGGGGAGTCATTCCACGACAGGAAGCGACGTTTGGTCTTTAACGGCCAGGCCATTTCCCAGACCATCGAGCCGCTGCTGAATGCCTATCAGGCCCCTCTTGGGGTGGGAACGATCGGGATGCCTTTTGCTCGGGCCCTTGCGAAGAGACAGGGCACCAAGGTTGAAGATTGGAACCGCTCTTTCAACAGGTGAGTCGGAAAAAAAAAAAAACGTTGTATGTGTCAATGTCAGGCATGATCCCAGGTCTTTTGGACCTATCAAATTAGCTGCACCGCCGCTTGTAATTTGAATGGCAGGAGTGTGTTGCAGGAGCGGCCGCGCAAGTCAAACATGGGGCCGCGCAAGTAAAGCGCAAGTGAAGCGCAATTGACGCAGTGATGATTCATATTCATCATCATCATCATCATCCGCATGGTCGAAAGAATCCGGAAGATTGCTAAATTTTCGCGCAAGTCGCGCGCAAGTCGCGCACAAGTCGCGCGGCCCATTTCTGTAGTTTGCATTTTCTTTGTTTCTGCAGATCCCAGCAATGAGTTGCAGCAGCAGCAGCCAGCAGCAGCAGCCAGCAGCAGCAGCCGCAGCAGCAGCAGCCAGCAGCAGCCGCAGCAGCCAGCAGCAGCAGCCAGCAGCAGCCAGCAGCAGCAGCAGCAGCCAGCAGCAGCAGCAGCTGCCAGCAGCAGCAGCAGCAGCCAGCAGCAGCAGCCAGCAACAATTTGCAGCGGTGTACACACCTGAGACCTCATACACTTAAGGGGCATGTTTTTGGGGGACCTCACTCTTATGAAGACCGCCGCTTGGATTTGCAATGAAAACATCCTGGGATAAGAGTTTTAATACGTTTTTTTTTTCCAGCTCAGGTCTCAATTGAAAGGGCGTGTCAATCTAAGATTGCGTATGAGTGAATGGACTTCATGCTAACATGTGCTAATACAAGTTCCAGACTCGCCTGCAAAGAGAGCATGTTGCTATTACATGTTTCAGCGTAGCCGCTGGCTGGCTAGTCACGAAGCCAGGCGATTCATGAGAAGCAGCTGGCCAAGAGCATCTTGGCAGAGGCCCCTTGGGTGCTCTTTCGATGGGGGTTGACGTGCGCTGAGAACCCAAGCGCATCCAGGTGATGTGTGTGTGTGTGTGTGTGTGTGTGTGTGTGTGTGTGTGTGTGTGTGTGTGTGTGTGTGTGTGTGTGTGTGTGTGTGTGTGTGTTTTGGGGGGACCCTCCAAAATGGTGGCTGTCCTTTGGTTTTTCCTTCAAAACGACCAAACATGGGTGCCCTCAACCAACAAGGAGCCACCCGTGTGCTTGTATTCTCTAGTTCTGGCTTTCATTGGTGCATGATTCGATGCTCGCGTGATACTCTTCGCACAACTTTTTATGCTGTGTTGCCTGCATGCGCAGGCCATGGGAGGATTTGGTTTGGATGACGACGACCAGGAGGAGTGGAAGTAGTTTCCGTGAGATCGCATTCAGGTGTTTCCGATGAGTTGTGGTTATCAAAAGCCATTGAGTTCCTATATTAGCGACTGTTTGACAATGATAGTAATTAAAGTAAAAATACTAAACAAGTGCAGTTTGTGCACCAGTCACAAAGCTTCTCTTTGCCCTGTGTGAAGGCGACCTCTAAACGACCTTCAGCAGCTAATTGAAGGCGGCCTGCAGACATCCTGGAAGCATGGTGAGTGACGTGGCTCTCCATGTATTCCGCCAAGCCTTTGCCCCGCCTGTTATGAGTGCGCCGATTGCCTGGGAGAATATGATAAGGGCGTATAAAAGCTGGTTTGAGAGCTCCGGAGATTGAATGTTTGTTGCTTTAATCCGGCACTGGTCCCTTCCGATTCCATTGCATGCAAGTGTGACGCTCCAAGTTGCCCCAGTGGCCTCTGAAATCTCGCAGTGGCCAACACCAGTGGTAGTTTTAGTTCGCCATGAGAATTGTCGCTGTTCTACCATCAAGATGCTTGCTTGGTACAGAGAACTTATTCAGACAAGGTATTCCGTCGATAGCTAACAGTGCAAAACTATCAGGATTTGCAGTTTTAGTGGATCAAGCGGGATGTCCTTGTCCTGCCATGCAAACATTGGGTTGCTATGTTGCGAACTCGCCTTCCTGGGCAGTTCCCGACTCCAGCGCGGCGAATCATGAAGCACAATTTAATAGATTTATATTGCAACATGCTGAATCGGCATCCCTTGTTTCTTCCAAGCTCATCAAGTATCTCTTTGTTATGATCTCAGACATGTCCCGATCCTCGCGCACCCAGCAAATCCCCAGATCCGGCCTAAAGCTTCAAGATCCTGAGCCAAGCCTTGAAGCTCAAATCGGACCCCGACCTCAGTTTCGGCCCATTGGAATCTGCGAGAAAGCAGTGAGGACTATGGGTCGCCATTTGAGATGGCTTCACGCAGGCGTTGGGGGGCACCCAGGACACTTCTGATACGCACGTGCAAATGTAACTCCTATGGCTTGTGGCCATGGTTTGCTAATTGGATTCATTATAGTGGTCATTAAGGATCCTACCACGTGGATGACCATCCCTGTTAATTTCCAGGTAAAGGAACCGATCTTTTGACCATGGCACATAGTTGAACAATTGGGGAGAATGCGATGGGATACCACCTGTTTGTTGGTATTGCCTGGTAGCAGATGAGGGTGTGTAGAGTGAGCCAGCCCACATGCGAGCGCCTGATCCAGTACATCTTGAATTATTGAGTGCCGCATTGTGCCAGCCCAAGAGAGTGGCTTCGTTGCGGACAGGGTTTGCTCGCCTGTCAGGTACATTGTGCTGCTTCTGATGTCCTTTGCACCAGATGCCTGGCCGCCTTGCTTACCGGGTTTGTTTTGGACCCTGTGGAATTTCCCTTCAGAAGTCTTGAATTGCTATCAGAGTGCCAAATCAGCGCAATAATTTGTGTGAGTCCTCGGTTGTGGCGCATAACATAGGGTCTAGACTGGTTGCCCTGTCGAGTGCTCTCATGTTCACTGCGGGAAGTTGAATGCATCAAGTTCGACCAGCTGAGCAAGGGTCAAGTTGTCGCTTTTCTACATGTGGCTGCTCTCCATGTACATGGACAAACCCTGAATCTACCGCAACCTGAGAAGAGAACAGTGGTCATTGCCGCGGAGGGATGTTCAGAAGTTTTTGCGAGTTCCTTTGGGTTCCTTGCTCAGTGTCTTTGCCGACAAGAGAGTTTTGCGGTTCTGCATCCGTCCATGACTGGCCGAAAGCTCCACGTGTAGGACGGCTGTGTTTGTATGACGTTGAACCAGCACAGTCATGCTCGTGCCTTGACCCAGATCCGATCGGGAATGTGTTTGAAAGCAAACCTTCATGGCCGTTGCTGTGGACAACAACGAGCTGATTAGTTTGTTGTTTTGTCTAAAGGGGGCTTGACATGCTCCACCACACAGATGAATATAGGTGGTTGCAAACTCAGTTCCTTCGATGGGTCCATCCATATTCCCATGACGTTAATTGGATGTCATTCACAGCTTCAGCACACTGGGCTGGACGCCAGGAAGTCTCCAGCCACCTCTCTAAGATGCACCGGGAACTGCTGATGCACCCCTTGGTTAGCTTCGCGACGGAGGCGAGAGTCATGAATCCTTCGTGCCATCCTCCCGACCTGCTTGCTTAGAACCCATGACCATGGCCCACAAGTTTGACACATTTTGAGGTCGGTCAAACTGTTCAGTAGTCTACAGCATATTTGGAAGGGACATCAGGGAACTAGCTAAATTTCCCGTAGTGCCCTTTAGGGGAAACTAGTATTCTAGCACTCAGCACATCCTCACGTTTGGGCATCAGATCCGGGCGCAATGCAATAGCCCGCTACGACTGTTATGAGCATTTTGCGTTCTTCGGGGTGTTGGCAGCTCAGCGGATCAGGTTCTACGGGTTACAGGTAGCAGTGCAGATGTCCGAGCTCATATTCGTGGGCTGGTTCTTGTGGACAGGTCTTGCGTTTCACGTGGGAAAGCTGTTCGCCTCGTGCGCACGGGGGCAGGTCTACGCTGCCTTTCATACGGAGAACTATGCAAGGTTCCTTCGTGCACGCCTCAGATACCAAGCTGGCGACTGCATTCAGTCTGAGTCCGAGAATCGGAAGGAGCATTTGCAACAATGCTCAATCCCCAGACGGGCGCGAGTGTTTGTCACTCTGCAATCAGCCCTGTTGGCTGTACCGAGGCATGTACAGGGAAGCTGACTTCCTGTCTGCGGTGGCCATGAGTGGCGTGGCAGATTTGGTGGGGCGCTTAGTCGCGCGTGTGAACAGCAATCCCCGAATATGCCCGCACAAAATATTCGAGTCCTTAAAGTTATTTGTTTGGTGCCGCTAGCTGTTCGCCGTCCACGGAAAAACGCGGAGCTGGGTTTCTTGATATCATGGTAACCATAGAAAGATTGTGCGATCCCTCGGGTTTCGTAGAGAGAGGCGGTGGTAATGTTCTCAATGGCATGTGACACTTGCAAGATCCACTGTCAGGCGCGCATGAGAGCTCTCTGGCTGCTGGCCGGAGCCCTTGGGGCCTGACCGTTGGGGCAGTCCTGTAGCCTTCCACTGGAGTTCTGGCAGGACATGTTCTGGCTACAGGGTAGCAAGGGAATCAAGGACAAAAAACAAGTAAGCAGTACCACCAGACGCGGCAAGGTAGTTGGTGTCCCAGCCAAATTGGCGAACTGGGTTGCATATTTTCCAACTACATATATAATATATGTATATATATATACACATGACATATACTATACATATATATATATATATATTAGTTATGTGATTGGCTCACAATATCGCCAGGGTATCTCGGCTTCTGGTGGTGCCGTGAAGGGTTGACGGATTTAGGTTTGTGGTCGGCCCTATCTGCTCTTTTGTGACAATGTCGTCAGCCGTATCCCAATGACTCAAGTCTTTGAGCCATTTGTGCGAGAATGGCCGTGCAGATCTCACTCTCCATACCGGGTGGTATTGTATCGTGCTGTCATAGCTAACATGTGTTTTTGCTTCGACGCATTTTGATGCCCGAGTTTCCAGTTTCACAACCGGGGCAGACACTGAGTTCGACCATATTTCAACGGTTATGTTTGCATAGGGTTCCTTGGCAAGGAGCATCTGACCGAGAGTGCACACGCATGCAGCAAAGCCAGCAGTCATTCGTGACCGCAACCAGTTGGAGCAAATGCTTGGTGAATTGACCGTCCATATCCTCGGGTTGTCCTTGGGACTTGAAGTTGTATCAAGGTCCTTGGATATGGTACTTCACCGCGCGATATCCTCATTCGCAATTCGAGTCCTCTTTGTTTATGGCAAACACGATAAGGTGTCAGAGCCCGCAGGTGTTTAGAACACCAGCGTAGACTGGCGTTTGGATTTTTCTGCTCCGTGAGGTTCGGACATACCCCCAGCAGGTTGGGGACAAGATCGCGCTGGGGAAGCTGAAAAACATCCTGGCCTTTGCCAGCGATGACCACGCCAAGTCCTTCTTGGCGTTTCATGGCCTGCAGATCGTCATCGACAAGGATTGCCAGATCCGAGGGCCCCTAGAAATCAAGCGCTCTTGGTGGTACCCCCGTTTTGGGTGCATTGAAAAAGCGCCAAACGGAAAACCGGGGTGCCATCAAACAAAAAGACACACTGAAAAAGACACACTGAAAGTTGGAGAACAAGTCAAGCGATCGAGAAATTTCCGAAAGGCAGCCCTGAACCCAGACGAAATGTGCGGATCGGCCTAACCCTAGAGGCATTATCTCGCTCACCGATTGGGGTCCCGTAGCTTCATCCACGGCAGAAAGGTCTTCCGGAACGGGATTCGGGGTTGTGTTTGATTACTCGGGGTTTGTCACGAAAGCTAGCTTTAGCTAGCTGATCTCCTTGCGTAAGCAAGGTAAGGGGCTCAACTGCCGAAAGATTGTTTTTTTCAATTATTTGAGCCGAAAAGATTGAAAAACATCAATTATTTAGACCCCCCCCCTCCCCCCCCCCCGTCTCAGGCTCGATTCCTCCTTGGGCTCAGTGTTTCAGCAGTCTCGGTTTGCCCGTTTTACCACCTCGCAAGAATCTTTGCACTCGCAGCATGCAGAACCCAGAGGTGCTTTAAGACAGCTTCTGACGCCTCTCGTTGTTTTCATTTTTCAAGGTTTGCCACGCTACCATGTGCGTTTGCGTGTCGCATCCTACGAATCTTGTCGAGCCTCTCGTTGTACACAAGCTACCTCTGAATCCACTCTGTCACCGACCCATCTCATGCAACAACTGCTAGCTTTCGTTCACCCGCTCCTCAAGTCCAACCACTTTGATACTTTTGGGAATCTCCCCCTAATGGGATTCGGGGTGTATCCAACCACTTCTGTCCTACTTTTGGGAATCTCCCCCTAATCGGCGGTTAGTCTTTGGGGTTAGGCCCTTGCTGTATGACGGAAGTGTTCATTTCCTTCCAGCTTTGGCAACGGAATAATTTGTGTTAGAGCCGCGAGGAGTGGGCCGGCGGTGCGTACATCGTGCTGCCCAAGAAGGGCACACCTGAGGAGGGAGCGTCAAACAAAAAGGGTTCAAAAGACGTTAAAAGAGCTTCCTGGAAAATTTATTCTTCGAAGGTTGTAAACATCACCCGTGGGCAGTGAGTCAGGCTGAGTCAGGGAGTTCCATGCACTGTTTCTGGACTTGACTGTGTTGTTGCTACCGGATTCACGGCTGTTTTAGAAACGGCCCTCAGTTTGTTTGGAGCCAAAGCAAGCAGTAGCAACCGCAAACCATTGAGAATTCATGGGTTTCTTTTGGGGCGTTTGGAGCATGTTTACCATCCTAGACACGGGGCAGGGACACCATGGTTCCAGCAACAGGCACCTAGAAACTTCCAACTTTGAGAATCTGAACTGACAAAAACCAATCAATGACGCAACCCACCTGTAAAGAGCAGCCGCAAAACGCAGAAATCCCACGAAAGCGCCGCGTTGCAGGCGGCTTCACTGCCTTTGCTGCAGGGCGGCGCAAGGCTGCCTGAGAAGTGCGAGTACCCCAAGGCGACCTCGGGAATGTTGCCTGGCGGTTGCACTTGTTTGGTCGTGCCAGTTGCGCGTGTGCTTATGTATGTCTTCGTGCCTCCGTGTTTCTGTGTGTGTGTGCGCGCGCCTGTGTGTTTGTTTGTTTGTTTCTGTGTGTGTGTGTGTGTCACGTTTGGGTGGGTGTGTACGTAAAGAATAATAGTTGTGTGTGTGTGTTGTACACATATACATGTATGGTGCGTGTGTGTGTGTTTTTGTTTTGTGTGCGTGTGTGTGTGTGTCGTGTATTTGTGTGTATGTTTGGTTTATTTTTGCGGTCTCGGCAGATTGACTCGTGTTTATTGCAGGGGGGATGCCACCAGAGAGAGAGAGAGAGAGAGAGAGAGAGAGAGAAAAACAAAATCAAACACGGCTTCTGGCCAATGTTTCTCCGATCTACCAAATCTGAGTCGATATCCCTTCATGCGCTTCAATCGGCCGCCGCTGCCAAGCACACAAGCAGGGTGTGTCTCTTTGTTGAGGGTGCCATTGTTTTGGCTGGTTTGAAAGGGAAACCAAGAGGAACACCGCAATTTTGGGGGTCAACCCCAAAAAAAACGCACACCCAGCCAAACCCTTCTGGTGGTAAGGATACCAAACCGGTCGGACCAAGACGACGCCAGGGCGCGGACTCGTTGCTGATCGCCAAGTTCGATTCGCTGGGCCTCACGCGGGCGGAGATCGCCTTGGGCAACGCCGACCCAATCGCCCGGCACCTGGATCCGCTGGATCCGGCCGCGGCTTCGGATCCACTGAGTCTTTTGAAAGCCCCCGAAAATGCGGAGTTGTGCAGTCCCCGTCTGGCTGAACAAGTGGTTCCAGCCCGCCGGCTCATGCACAACCTCAAGCACGGAATGACTGAACTTGAATCAAATTCTATCCTCCATGCATTGCAAAACAATCCTCTACCTTGAACTACCTTGTTTGGGGGGCCCAACTGTGGTGTTTTGGGTTTTATAATGAGAATGTTGGAAGCTGGCTCCAAGAAAGCACATTTTGAATGCCTGAAGCTGAACAGCAAAATTGGAGAAGACATGAAAGAGTGCAAGCAATTATGACTTGTGATCTCACAGAGGAAGATTGAAATGAACAGGTGTTGGCTGATGTTGATTTTCAATGCTTGGAGTCTGTGTTGGGGAGTGGGGGGTAGGATGGACACATGGGCACCATTTGGAGCAGAAATCCTAGGTCTGGGAAAGGAGCGTGCATGCGACGTCATCCCACCCATCCCCAGCAAGTTGGCTGTTGGGCGTGCGCGGATGGGTGTGTTTTTTGTCTTGGGCTAGTTTGAAGGGAGATCATGCAAAACACCCTGTATTTTGGAGGATCCCCCCATTCAGAGACAAACACACATGATCCTGTTTCCTCCCAACGATGTTCAACTTGACCTTTACAGCCGTCCCAGACCCAAATTCAAAAGTGATCTGACCTGTACGTGGCATCCTTTTTGGCGCAAGCTTGAGCCCAGCAGCACAGGCCCAGTGCCAGTGGTTTTTCCAGGGTTTGTCCAGTCTTTACAATGCAGGTGGTTCAGGGCTATTGTTGGCTACTGTGGCTTTCCTTTTGGCTTCCCTTCAAACCAACCTGTAAAGGGGGACTTCAAGGGTCATTGTGCTTAGTTAGTGGGTAATAACCATGGTCACAACCCACAACGACATGGTTGTAAGTCTTTGTTCAGTTTTAACCAGGCTTACCACCCACTCACCAAGTACCCGCGTGAAGCATTGAAGCTCAGAGCGATGGCACAGGCCCCAGAGGTTGAGGAGGCAGAGGCAGAGGCAGAGGCAGAGGCAGGGACTTGGTTGAAACAGCGGGTCCGGTAATTACCTGGCCGGTGAAACTTGGAAAGGCGATTGCAGAAGTGGAACTTGAGGTGTCCTTTTAATCGGTCTGGTTAGGAATGGATGCATGGGCAAACCCCAGGATTTGATTGCTTCTCTGCCCCACCTACCCATCCACCCACCAACCATTTACCAGGGAAACCCACCCGTTGTTCCAAAAGGACACCTGTGGGAACTGCCACGGGCTGGGCGGGCGGTGGGCGGCGGGCGGGCGGCGGGCGTGGCCAACCCTCCGGCTGGAGAAGACTCTTGACGGGCGGGGCTGTTTCTTGCTGATCCAAAGCGTCACAGGGAGGTCCTTGCGCCCTTGACAAACTGTATTGCGAAACCTGGGAATGATTTCGGGCCTTAGAGTTGGCACATTGGTTTAAGATGCACGTGATGTGTATGTTTTTGTGTGTGTGTGTGTGACACTTGGTCGAGTCTAGAAGCCTCCAACTGTTGCGCACCCTGTACAAGCTTTGTGCAGCTTAAGCTCTTCGCTCGGGACCTGTCTGCCCTCGGCCAGGAAGCTGCTGAGAAAGAGGCCGGATGCAAAGGCGTGTTCCAGTTCTGCGCCTTCGATTCGGGAAGCACAGCACGTTAGGCCCAGAAATCAGCTCGTGGCCAGTCCACTCAGAGAGTGTGACACAAAGCTGGTACAAGTGATATGCTGCATGGATGTGAGTTGTTGTTTTTTACGGATTGAGCCCCGGAAGCATGAATTCTAAGAACCAGCCTCGCGGGGGCTGGCAGATCAGCCTACTGTAGGTCTCCAACTTCCGGGATTTTCTCTTGAGGATACCCCCGAAATCAGGGTTGACAAGGAAATTCAAAGCTTTATTGCTATGTCGCGGATCTTTGCACTTTAGTGGAGATTGTCTAGTGGACCTACATGCGGACGATCTTCGGCATGTGCACGGCAAGCGCGGTGCAGCATGCGGTTCAAGCTGTCTCACCTAATGGGTCGGCTTAAGTCGTTCGTGACTCTCACCGGCCTCCTTAGAGTAAACAGTTGGATCGCCTGGCGAGCCGTTTTAAGCTCACTGAAAGGGATCACCAACGGGAGTCCCTGGAGCGGAAACGAAATCCCACATGCTCCAAGGCATAAGCCCTTCACCTCGTTGATGGGGCATCCAAAGAATTCACCGCAGGCAAAAAGGGCTCCTTTCAAGAAGCGAATGAGCCCAGCCACCGTACAAGAGACATGTGACTCCTGAGGTGCATCACACGAAAGAACCCATGCAGTGCCGTTGTGGCTTGCAACGGGATGTGGTAACTCGGCAATGCCGTTCGCATGCAAAATGAAGACAAGCTCAAGCCATGAGACTTCGCAACAGGCAGTTCCATCACTTAAGTGACTGATCTGCCAGGCCAGTAGCTTCTGAAGAAAAGGGACACACCATTTTTCCAAGGCCGGTGTGGTATCCAGCTCTGATCAGACGGCCACAGTGGCCATTTGGATATCAAGGCATCAACCCGGCTGAACTGAGCACCCACTTGCCACGTCTGTACCTGATTGATATCCATGTACTTGGGTACCATAAGTGCCCACCACCGACGGCGCGAGCAAGGCCATACCTGAGCAAGGTCCATGATCACCGTGACATATTGAAAGTCAAGGAGTTCTGCAAGATCCTCCAGGCCTTGTCTGATCTCAATGTGATTGGCGACTCCGGGCACGCATTCCAAAAGCATGGCAGAGGGCGAAGTGAGATAAGCCGTCTTTAAAACCTGAAAGAATACTGCACTGCGTCTGTCCAACATTGCAAGCTGTGATCCTTGGGTACTGAACGGTTGACAAGGAAATCCAGCCGTGAGCACGTGTCGACGGTGTGGTTGCACCTGGTGTAAATACATAATGCTCTCATCTCGGCAAATGTCGGCTTGTATCACACAGGGTGAGCCATTCCGCTTCAGGGTTGCGCAGCACAGAGCGTTGTGGTCAAGCTGGGCGACAATCTGCATGTTCATGAGGGAGCCTCCCAAGCCGATGCCCCCCATGCCTGCACAAACCTCCTTGATGGTATCAAAGGATGTGTCATCCAACGGCGGAATCAACGTGAGCCATGTGTCAGGTTCACACGTGAGCAGCAGGCCCTCAGGCGTGGCTCGTACACCAGCTTGGTGAATAACCAAAGTCGGCGAAGCCCCAAAGAGCCCTGGTGGCACACCAACCACATCACCCGTGTGCTGAATACGACCTCGCCGGTCGTCCACCTGCATCATCACAGCGCTAAAGCGCTTGCCAGGGTGAGGGCGCCCCAAAAAGCGCACCAACGAGTGATCCATCGCCCGCGGTCAGCTGACTTAGCTCTACCCCTGAAAGGACTCGGGCCCAGAGCTGTCTAGTGGACCTACAAAAAGCTGAACTGTATGCAGCGGGGACTTGACAGCAACCAAGAAAGGATCCGCAAATTTTGCGTTTCCATATCCCATTGTGAGACAATCTGCAGCTTCTCAGGCCGAAGAATCTGAGCCCATGGACGCGGGCGTCGAGCCGCTGACGGTGGTTTGCTGA